TTTAGAAAAGGTCTCACTCTGTTGTCCAGGTCTCACTCTGTTGTTCATTTTTTCCTGTAGGTAACAATTTCCAGGTGGTGTCATTTCTCTTTAGCCTGAAGTTCTTTTAACTTGTTGTATAGGCCTACTGGTTATGAATTCTCTTAGCTTTGGTTTATATGAAAATGTGTGCTCTTCGCTTTTGAAGGGTTATTATCTTGGAGATAACATTCTGCCGCCAGTATTTTCCTTTCATTATTTGGAAGTATCTTCTCTTGTTTTCTACTCTCCATTGTTTCTGATGACAAGTCAGTCAACATTTGTATCAGTGTTCCCCTATATGTAATATATCTTTTCTTTAGACCAGTTTTGAATTTTTCTCTGTCTTTGAATTTCAGTAATTTGCTTATTATGTGCCTAGGTATATTTCTTTGTATTTATCCTGCCTTGGGTTCATTGAGCTTCTTAGATTTATAAGTTTATGTCTTTCACCCAATTTGGCAAAATTTATTATTTATTTAAATGCTTTTTCTGCCTCATCTCATTCCTATTCTTGACTCCAGTATCTTACGTATTATTTGTTATGTTCCACAATTCATTGAAGCTTTATTTTCTTTAATTCTTTTTCTCTGGGCTTCATATTTGACAATTACTATTGATCTTTCTTCAAATTTGTTGACTCAACATGGTCTCCACTATGCTATTAAACCATGTAGAGATTTTTTTCAATTATTGCACTTCTTAGTACAGTAAATACAGTAATTTCCATGGGTTCATTTTTATAATTTCAGTATCTATGTTAAGACTAATTGTCTGTTTATTCATATGGCACTATTTTCCTTTAGGTTCTTGAACATATCTGTAGTAGCTGTTTATTGCCTTTGTTCACTTTATTCCAATAGACTGCTTTTTTTTTTCTTGGCTATGGGTCACAGTTCCCTGCTTTTTCTAGTAATTTTTTATTACACAGTAGACATAGTAAATGAGGAATTGTAGAGATTGTGGACTCTATATGTTCCTCTGAAGAGTGTTGACTTTTGTTCGATTAGGTCTGTAGCCTTCATTGTGGACAGAAGCTAAAATCTCTGCCCTGTTTTTTCAGCTTTCAGATGTTCTTTTTGAGCCTCCTGGAGTCAGTGACCAAACAAGAATTTGGTCAGAGGGAGCTTCTCTATGGTTCTCTTCTTTTCAGGAGTACCCCCTAATTTTGCAGCTGCTCTGCTAGCCCCAACCTATGTTCTCTGAAACCTCAAACCAATGAGCCTGTGGCTTTTTGCCAGCCTATGAAGCATGGATTGAGAAGTACCCTCAAGCATAAACTCAGAAATCTCTCTTTTTAGTGGCGACTTCTCTTCAGTTCCTTTGGAGGAGCTTTCAAATCGTTTTTTATATTTTGTCCAGAACATACAATTGTTATCTGTAAGAGGTGACTTTAAATTCTTTCACAATAAATGAAAGCCAGAATTTCCCCACCCTTAAATTTTTTTTCAAGATGGGTCTCACTGTGTTGCCCAGTATGTCTTTGAACTCCTGAGCTCAAGTGATTATCCCACCTTAGCCTCTTAAGTAAGCAGGCCAATAGATATGAGTCATCATACCCAGCTAGTTTTTTAACTTTTTGTAGAGATGGGGTCTTGCTGTGTTGCCTAGGCTGGTCTCAAACTCCTGGTCTCAAATGATTTTCCCACCTCAGCCTCCCAAAGCACTGGGATTACAGGTGTGAGCCATCATGCCTGGCTCCATAAATTTTAACAACATATTTAAACTTACATTTTTCCCTCAACACCTATACCTAATAGATTACTATTTATCTTCACCCTAAAAAAAAAAAAAAAAAAACAGTGTTGACAATGTCAGCAGGCTTTCATTTGTCTTCTGACCAAGTTAAAAATTCATTTGGAAATTTAGTTCCTGGTTTGGGGATTTTATTTTTCTGTTCTGTTTTACTAGGGATATGATTATATGTTCAAAATAAATTTTCTTTGTTTTAAAATTTATTATACTTTAAGTTCTGAGGTACATGTGCAGATTGTGCAGGTTTGTTACATAGGTATACATGTGCCATGGTGGTGGTTTGCTGCATCCATCACCCCGTCATCTACATTATTGCTCCTAATGCTATCCCTTTCCAATCCCCGCACCCCCTGCTATTCCTCCCCTTGCTCCGCACCCCCAAGGCCCCAGTGTGTGATGCTCCTCTCCCTGTGTCCATGTGTTCTCATTGTTCAACACCCACTTATTTCCTTTAGGTTCTTGAATGTATATGTAACAGTGAGAACATGCGATGCTTGGTTTTCTGTTATTGTGTCAGTTTGCTGAGAATGATGGTTTCCAGTTTCATTTCATTCAGAAATTGGAAGATGTTCCATTTTCAGTGAAGAACTTGTTACCAATATATTTTAGGGGAGGGGCCATGATGTGTACATATGTTGAAATTTTAAATTTCATATGCAGTAAAATTGACTTACTGTTGTACTATTCTAAGAGTTCTTAGAACCATTCTGGCTACTATCAGTATGGTGGAAACAGCTCAGATTTAGCTTATGCAGATTTGGTTTCAGAATCTGCCTATAGCTCTCACTACTTCTGTAACCTTGGTAAATTTGGAACAACATGGAGTGTGAATAAAGAAAACATCTCCGTGTCACCTTTCCTTATTTGTAAAAAAAAGGAGGATGCCATCTTTCCTGTCTACCCTTCTGGGCTCTTTCCTGAGGATCAGATGAGACCATGTATGTGAAACACCTTGAAGAACATAATACTTACATAGGTTGAGGGACTATTTAGTATTTCCATTTGCCCTCCTATCCTGAGTAGATGATTAAGTAACATTGTGTGTGAAAATTGATTTAAGCATTAGGAACTGCTGTAATATATAGCAAATAATAAATCATTTTACTATTATCATTATGTTAATAGTGGCCTACTAAAGACTGGAAACTCAAGAACTAAAGAAAAGTTGAGTTTTATAATGCTATAAGAAATGGAAGAGTGTGGGGGAATACAGGGATGGAAAAGTGGGGGTGTCAGAAGTATCTGCAATGTTGTTTATACCTCTTTAAAAGTTTAATACCTACTTTGCATTCTTCTTTGTTGTCTCTGCCCTTGGAGACTCCTTCATAAATATGGAATGCTTACAAAATATACCCACTTTAGCATCAGAGTGGAAGAAAGCTCATGTTGACCCTGCAACTAGATTGATGGAAAAAAAAAGTATCTTGAGCCTATGTTCTTGAACTATGTGAAATTTATTGAAAAAAACATCAGGGATATTGAGATATAGAGTTGGAGTAGGGAAGACAGGACAGAGAGGAATGGATAAAAGCATGAATAGGGGAAGAAAGATAGGATGTTTGCGCGTCCTAATGCTCAAGCAGAGGCAGATGTGGTCAGCTGTTGACTGGGAAAAGAACTAAATATAAAATGAACCAAACAGAGTGATGGAGGCTTTTTGCTGCCTGAGTCAAAATAAGAAGCAAGGGCCCAGGTTTCTAGATCTTGTTGCAGAAAGATTGATTCCTACAGCATATAATTTGCATCCTGGTTCCATGGGAGAAGAGTTTCATAGATGGACACATGTTCTCACACCCTTGAACCATGAACTGGAGTTTTCCACCTAAAAGGAGCAGAGACAGACTAGTGAGCAGAAAGCTTCATCCTCCAACCTTAGCCTTTATCTGTGATCCTCAGTGTCCCCATGCAGGATGGCCAAGACCTCCACTTGTACATTATCCCTTCTCTTTCTCTTCTCTCTGCTTCCTCTGGGATCTTGCCCCCCCATCAGTTGCCTTTTCCTTTCTTATATGGTCAATCTCTTTCTACAGACTCCTTTTTGGTTTACAAGGATGCTCAAGTTCCCCTAAATTTAAAATACTTTCTCTTAATTATGCTACTCTCCTAGCACTATCCTTTCTTTCCCTACAACCTTTCCAGAGTCTGCCTATCCTCCTCACCTTCACTTCCTCTCCATTCACATCTTGGCCCCTCACACCCTGAATCATAACCCTACTATGCTGAAACTTCTCTCTCAAAGGTCATAGAAATCTACTCAACAATCTGCAGCCTTTTCTGAGGAATTTTTTTAACTTTTTGCTTGCACATGATACTATTGACTACACCCTCTTTCTTTTTTTTTTTTTTTTTTTTTTGAGACAGAGTCTCACTCTGCCACCTAGGCTGGAGTTGTGCAGTGGCACAGTCTCGGCTCACTGCAACCTTCGCCTCCTGGATTCAAGCAATTCTCCTGCCTCAGCCTCCTGAATAGCTGATATTACAGGTGTGTACCTCCACGCCTAGCTAATTTTTGTATTTTTAGAAACAGCCTGTTGGTCAGGCTAGCCTGGAACTCCTGACTTCAAGGGATCCACCCGCCTTGGCCTCCCAAAGTGCTGAGATTACAGGTGTGAGCCACCTCACTCGGCCAGGTATTCTGTTCTTGGTCCTTGAAAGAATAAAGTTCTGAATCTTCAAGTTCTTTGATTCTTTCCTGGGCCCCTGCCACTCCAACTGCCCCCTATCATTAGTAAGTTGATGTGTTCTCAGGCATAGATTGCCTCATGAAGTCCCCATATACCTTCAAAGATCTTCTTTAACATGCACTGCTGGGAATTCTGAGTGGTGCAGATTCCCTCTCCACGAAGACATTTTCCTTGATCATTCATATAAGCACATGCGTAGCAATTTAATATTATGCCTGAAAATTTAAGATAAATGTGATGACATTTCCTTTTGGACCAGCTGTGTAACCTTGAGTCACCTCTGGGAGGGGTGATGGACAATAGGTAACATGGATACTACACATTCATTTCTTAGTTCTTATTGGGGATCTGAGGGCCCTGTGTTTGATAAACATGTGCCAGAGGAAATTCCTTCATTCTTCATCTCTGACCCTCATTGCTGATGACTCCTAAATTTCTCTAATGTTTTTACTCCAGTCCATATCCCAACTGATTTCCTGGACATTTATCTTTAGATGCGCTCCTGTCATGTGACACCATAGGAGCAAAACGTATGTATGATTTTCATCTCCCTTTTGTACACCCCATCATACTCTCACCCACAAGGCACAAACACTTGGAATCATATTCGACCAATTAATAAGCTATGTTAGAGTGCTCTAACATTGCAAACCCTATGAAGGGTCTGTGTCCTCCATTTTCAAATCAATCTTATCGAAGATTACTAATAACACTTTGAAATACTTCCATGTTGCCTCTGCTATCTCTACTGCTAATCCCCCAGTTTGGGAAGCATAAAGAAGTGGAAAGATTATGGACTTTGCACAGTCCCAAGTTTAAATCCAAGGTTTACCGCTTTCTAGCCATGTGACATTGGACATATTCCATTTGCCTCACTTCTTTCATCTGAAAATTTATAATAATGATGCTTATACAATGGAATGAAATGTGAACTATGTCTGGTAATAACTGGAGGCATCAAATTTTGGGTCTTGTTTTCCTTCCCTGAATAAACACTTTTAATTGGGAGCCACAGACTAGCAGTTGGCTTAGGAACTTATTTCTGGATCTAACAGAAAAAAGCTTTACATTCCATTTTCAAATAAAACCACCAGCTGCACACATCTCTTTACAGAATTTGTGAAGTTATAGCATTCTAACATGGTTTGTTAAGAGGCAGGTTTAGCATAAAGCTAATGAAGGTTAGTCTTCAGAACTCTTCACTTTCACGAGCCCCTTCTAAGGAAGTTGGAAGGGCTGTGTTCATAATTTCTTATGGAGAGTGAAGTTGGAGGGGTACTGGCATTTTGTATTTATTTTTCTTAAAGAGGGCCCTCCAAATTGTTTAGCATTAGAGATGGCAAAACTGCTCACAAAACTTAGGTCCTGCCTCTTGGTATGACGGTGAAGTGTTAACAATTCTTTCTTCTGTACCCTGTCCCTAAAGTTGGGTGTTCTTGATGTATTCCCCATTTCCCACCTGCAGTCAATGACTGGCACCCATCCAAATGTGGCTCACCTATAGTTGTGCTTGAAATTGTTGCACCTGAAGACTGTTCCCCTGAAGGCTTTTCACTCAAAGCATGCTCACCCAAAGACTGCTCACCCGAAGGCTGTTCACCCGCGGCGTGCTCACCGGAAGTCTGTTCACCAGAGGCATGCTCACCCGAAGGCTGTTCACCTGAAGGCTGCTCACCCAAGGTGTGCTCACCCGAAGGCTGTTCACCTGATGCACGCTCACCCGAAGGCTGTTCACCCAAGGCGTGCTCACCCGAAGGCTGTTCACCC